TTAAATTCAGACGGTGTTCTGTACTTAGCAGACATTTGGTGAATACTTATAAATTGAATAAAATACCTTATCTTAAAAAAGTTTTGGAGTATGTAATAAAATAAAACCAAGCTCAGGAAAAAAACTGTCACTTGAATAGAACCCAAGGGGAAAAACATTTGAGTTCTAAGGCAGGCCAATTAACATTCTATTCTACTTTAAGAATCAGGATGCTTTATATGGGTGTATCATACTCTCCAACAAACCCATCTGAAATTAAAGGATAGTCACTGTCTTCATAAAAACATTTGACATGAGCACCTTCTAAATACCAATCTCCAGGTCTTTTAAAAGATTTGCATTATTTATTTGTTCACTTTTTATTAATACTAATACATTAACCATACAAAGTAACAGAATATTTAAAAAGTTTAATTGGTGTACCTTTTGTACATAGTCCAGTGGTCTTTCAGTGTGATATGATTATCAATAATCTCATCCAGGGTGAGCAAAACTGTTAGCAGTTCTCCCAAGTGCTCATACATAGTCTGTCAAAAAACCTTTAATGATTATCATTTAGTCACTAGACAGAAGTTAAGCCTCATGTGGATTTGTAAAGTAAAATACATTTGGGCTAATTACAGAATTAGTTAAGGCAGTGGGTATATCTGTTTATTAAACTACAGGTTTGATCCTCAGATGGGACTACTAGTCTTAAATAAAGAATACATTGCCCAATATTTCATCCTTAATTGTGAAATTGCAGATTTGTTTCACTGCCCAAAGGGACAATTTAGAGAATTTGCACTGGGCCACTACCAGAAAAAACTAAGAGTTACACTAACAATGGGGTCAATAATGCCTCATCAACTTCACAAATAAAAGAGAACAAATGCAAAAAAAAAAAAAAAATCTTTTGAGAGTCTTGCTATAATTGTACTCCCCAATCACACAAACTCCAAAGTAAAATACAGTAAAAATTAGAGTTTTACAGGTCAAGTGAAAAACTTTTACCTGAAAATGAACTCCAGTTGTCTCTATAATTTTGGGTGCAATTCTGTAATAAAATAATACCCATGTCAAAAACATTTTCCTTTTTTGTCACAGTTCATTATTTCAAAGAATATACATAGGAGCAGAAATTCCTAGAATTTTAATATGTATTTATCTTTATTAAGGTTTCAGTCACTAAAATTTAAGAGATCCAAGGAATTACTACCATATTCCACTTTCCCAAGAAAGGAACTATCATGTACATAATAGAATGTGAGCTACCTTTGCCTGTATCCCACTCATGAGTAGAAATATGATGATAAGTGGCCCATGAATAACCCTAGCCATTAAACCTAAAAGATCTACTGTGGGATGAAGTAGAGCAATAAAATAATAATACTGATATTCGTATCTTTCCAAACTATTAAAACTTCTCAATTACCAACCAGAATCTTTGTTATCCTACCCAAACTAGTCTTTGGGAACTAGTCATCTCTTCAGCCAGGTTTATTTCTGAGTTCTCATCGCTACTGAAAAATAATGCATACTACTAGGATTATACTAAAGTCAAAAGCCACATAAAAATTCAATTCTACTTTCTAATCAATTTACTGAACAATTTTAAATAGCACTTGTATATCAAAGCACATGTAGATATACCATAAGATAGAATACATATTTTAAAATTAAACACAAAATTCAAATGAATGTCATCCTTCTAGGGCAGGAATGGGATGACAGGGAGTCTTACACACCAGGTACTTCAGGGGGCGGGGGAACTGTGCTCTCATTCTCTCCTGCCATGCGGAGAGCTTCAGTGAAAAGAGAACATAAAATAAATATCTAGCTGAGAGTAAAAACATGAGAATGAGAAACAGCTAACACAGTCCTCCAGTTTATCAAGAGAGTTAAGATGAAGCATGGTATAATAATAATGAATGGACTGGTGATCAAAAGAACAGTGGTGAAACTGCTAGGGAATCTCGGCAAATAATTTCGCTGGAATTATCTCTTTCTCATCATTAATAATCCCTAGTCACATACCTAAACTAAGTTTTTATAAGCATATAGTAATAAATGTGGAAAAACTTTTAAGTATGAAGAATTAATCAAATGTGAGATATTATTTTGTGGTAAGAATAGCAAGGGCTCTATGAAAAGTTGACAATTTTCTTGATTTAGGGTAGTGGTCCAACAACAGCCAGGCAGTACCACCTCCTCAGAGGTATGAACACCAATTCCTTGGGGCTCCCTTTCTGATCTCCCAGTTTCTGGCAACCTCAATCTTTTCCCTTTTGTTCCTTGGATGTAGAGGTGGTGTCTGCTTCCTCTGGACTACCTCACTGTTCTCTCTGTCCTTTCAGCCTCCAACTCCTGTATAACCAACAGGAGTCCTCCAACTCCTGTATAATCAATTCTCTACATGAAATCTCCTCTTTTTTTAAATACATTTTATTGTGTACTTTTAGGGTCATTAGAATTACAAAATTTTTTCCATGTAGATTCCCTAGCTCCATCCCTCAAGATTTTGTATTTTAAGAAAAGTCTCATGTGATGAGTCAGAGAACCATTAAAGAGGAAAGGAATAATGAGACAAAACATGGTATGTATACAAATTTCACATTAGCCTTTTTCTATATGGTCAAACTTCTTTAAGATTTTTCTGTCAACATTTTCCTTCAGACAGATAATGAGTTCATTCACCATAGCAAATTCTGTGACTTATTAACTTATGTATTACACATATCAGGTAGTATTTGAAGTATCATGAGTGCTCAAAGAATGCTGAACGAATGAATGAATGAGTGAACAAAAAGCTATTTCAAGTAATTAGTCAATTTTAGAAAAACATTTCCTGCATCTCTATTAGAAAAGCAAAAATATTTCTAAATCCATTACTTGTTACTGATATAGAGGGCAGCCAACTGATGGACTACATTCATCACCACTTCATAGCACCTCGTAACAAAACAAGACAGTTCCTGAAATGACAAGTTATATATATGTTACAAAGTTGCTTTTAACGTCACCACTTTTGACTAAATTTTATGGTAACAACTCGTAACAAAAACAAAATAGTTTTCCGCTAATGTAAAACTTCCAGTTGATCAGCAGCCAAACAACTTCAAGTATCCCGTAAGCAATCAATACTTCACTCACCTCCTGCATCCCAGGGTCACGGTTATCTCTTTGCTTTTCATTCCTACTTCTATTTTAAGTCTAATGTTTTAGTTACTTCAAATAACTCCGAAATGACAGGGGCTGTCTCATTCTTTCTTTGAATACCCACTGCCTAGCATGTTGGCTAACACTTAACAGTGCCTCAACAAATTTCTGCCCTATTAAGTGAATAAATGAATGAACATGTGAATAAAAGAAGAAGCTCAAAAGCTGCCAGTTTAGAAAGTATGACAATGAGAGGAAGGGATTTCCAGAAATCACTCTAAAATAACTTTAAGCATTTATCACCTGTAATCAAACCTATAAGCAAGCTTGGCACACAGCAAGTGAAGTATCAATTATAGTAAGAACATGTTTGTCATTAAATAATAATTAACTCACATCTACCACGCACACCCCAGAACTTCTGAAAATTTGTTTTCTCTCAACTTTTAAACTTACAGAAACAGTTTATATCTAACGTATTTAAAATCTAATTAAATCTACTACTGTTCTAAATTTTAAGCTCTGAGAGGGCAGGAATTTCTGTTAGTTTAGTGTACTGCTGTATTCCAGCACCAAGAATTCTAACGTATACTAGGCTCACAAATACATTTGTCGAATTTTTTCTTTTTTTTAAGAGATAGGCTCTCCCTCTGTTGCCCAGGCTAGAGTGCAGTGGCACAATTACAACTCACTGAAGCCTTGAACTCATAGACTCAAGCAATCCTCCTGCCTCAGCCTCCCCAGTAGGTAGGACTATAGGCATATACCACCATGCCTGGCTAATTTTTATATTTTTTTTTTTTGTAGAGATGGGGTCTCGCTAAGCTACCCAGGCAGGTCTCAAACTCCTGGCTCTAAGCAATCCAAAGTGCTGGGATTATTGGCATGAGCTACTGCAACTGGCAATATTTGACTGTTTAAAAACAGAATTTATATGCAGCTGTGAAATCCAAAACCAAAAGTTTTTGAAAATGAAAATAAATAACTTTAATTTTACTTAAACACCTCTAGTTTTACATTTCTTGTTGAACTTCTAAACGTTTAATAAAAGCAAAGAACAGAAAATGCAGGACAAATAGAAAGCACAAAGTAAAAAGGTAGAAACAAGCCCAGATATATAAACAGACTATGTAAGAGACACACAGAAATAGAATTAACCAACTAAAACACAGACTCAGATTATATAAAAAAGCAAAATCCAGATATATATAGATTTAAATAAGCAATGAAAAAATAAACAATGGAAAGGCTGAAATAATGGAAAAAGATAAATCAAGAAAATGTTAACCTTCTGGTTCAAGTTACAGTGCAAAAAACAAAGATAAGAAAATGTTAACTAAAACAGAGCTAGGGTAGGATTATTACTGTCAGACAAAATAGACTTTGTTAGCATTATTACAGTGAATCACTATATATGTAACATGTATTTACATAATTATATACATAAGTATGATCGCAGCTTAAGAGGGTCACTACATAATGATAAAAAATTCAATTTATTAGGAATGACTAACAATTCTAAACTTGTATGCAATGAATAAAATATCTTCAAAATACAAAATGTGCACATTTACTGGGACCCTGCAAACTACATTTTTTAGCTACCTTGCCGGACAGCAAGCCAGCAGCAGCCAGGCAGTGCCACCTCCTCAGGAGTATGAGCACCAATTTCATGGGGTTTTTCCCCAAGCTCCCAGATTCTGGCAACCCCAATCTTTTCTCTTTTGTTCCTTGGATGTAGAGGTGCTATCTGCTGCCTCTGGACTATCTCACTGTTCTTTTTGTCCTTTCAGCCTTCCAACTCCTCTATAACCAATTCTGTCTACTAAATCCCCTCTTTTTCTTAATTTAAATAAATTCTATTGTGTATATTTAAGGTATACAACATGTTATAGGACACATAAAGATAATAAAAAGGTTACTATAGTGAAGCAAATTAACTTGGTTACCCTGTTCATTTTTGTGGGAAAAGCAGCTAAAATCTACTCAGTTAGCATGAATTCCTATATATGGTACCATTTTATTATTTGTAGTTCTCATGTTGTACATTAGATGTCTAGACTAATTCGCCCTAAAAATCTGCTACATCTTTTGAAATACCTTGTGTGATATGTTTTCCAGACAGGACCCTGAATAACACATACCATACTATCAACAAAATGCTCTCAATTAGGTCAAGCAGACAAAAAAAAAGTAGTAAAGATACAAAAGATTTGAACAATATCTTAGCATGCCTGATTTGATGAAATATATCAACTCTTGTACCCAACAATCAGAAGGGAGATGGGACTATGGGTATTTTTTCCTTATCTCCAATGTTTGCTTTTTTTACATTGTACATGCATTGTTTTTATAAAGGAGAGGGGAAGAAAGTTATTTCATTCTTTCGATAAAAGTAAACCAAGAGACCTGGAGTTGCTAAAACTTTGCAGCGAAGGAAAGCTTATCTAAATTGAAACATGCTGTCAGAAGCATCAAGTGCTGTTGCTTTTAACATTTTCATAGTTGCTCATATAACAGCTTAATCTTCTCCATTAACAACTTCTCCTAAAATAATTTATCTTTTCCCAATGGGTACAAAGTTTAAATTCTTTTAAAAGTCCTGGTGACAAATTGTTCAGAAATGAAAATATACAAAGAAACTTATTTTGGTAACTTAGTTCCCTAAAAATGCTTAGAAATCTTTCAGGAGTTAGGAGCTCCTAAACTATAATATAACATTAATTAAGTGTCTTACTCTCAGATTATAAATCTTTGGTATTTGAAGGTTTCAGAACTTTTTAAATTATGTGTAATTGACTCAAACTTTTCAAAGAAAAAGCTTGGTAGAAAGTAAAAATCAGTTACCTGTAAGAATGAAATAAATCTCCCCATTTGAATTTGGCAATCGCCTTCCACCATGCTGGAATCTGTAGCTTTAAAAGGCAACATGAAGAATCATATTTCAATTTCTTAATTTAAACAATTTTTTAACACCAAAAAAAGAAAAAAAGTGATTCTTTTCATTAGGACATCTTTCAATCTGCATAGTATTGAAAACATGGAATTTTACACTGAAGATAAAAATGAAAATCATTTATCACATAATTAAAAGTAATTATCTGCTTAGCTACTTAATGAATTCAAGGAAAATTTTCATCTACCTTCAGTACTTTGTAACTTATAAAAATATCACAAATCGATTTTAGAGAATTTGCTGTTGCTTCATCACTCAGGTTTTTTTCACCTGTTTACCAAGCAAATAAACCAACAAAACATTTGAATGTTTATTTTTTCACACTAATACATTATATAATCATAGTAATCCTAAAATTATCTGTTAACGTTCTGTTCATTTCTATCTCAAAAAAGGCATCAACACAATTTTGAATTTTAAAATTTACCTCCTTCTCCATAAAACAAGAGACCATTGTAAAATTTGATTTCAGCCTGTTGTAAAAAAAAAAAAAAATTAAAATAATTTTAAAGGTGATTTTGTTTTCAAATTCCTAGGCTCTCTTAGTTCTCTGTACTTAATAATAAACAGAAGACTATTATCATTTATATGCAAACTCATTTAAATTCAAAAACTGCTTACAAGTAAATTCAATTTATCTTTAGAATAACAAAAATAGTACTGATACACAAAGCTGTATCTTGGTTTCTTTAGTCTTTACTTTGTCTTATCTGAACACTCTCATTGTCCCACATCCTACAATTAGTTCATGAAAGATAAAGAGCAACCACACAGTATCAAAAAGGGAGGGGGAAAAAAATGAAGTTCACCAACTTCTACCAGAGTTACAATGGCTCTTATGTAAGGAAACAGAAAACTAAATGCTAATTAAAAATTCAAAGCTTTTTTAAAAAATCGGTTTTATCTAGATAACCAGTATATATGGCAGATAACATAGATTTCGGAGGTTTGCAAACCTAGACTTAAACTGTTAAAACCAGTAACATGTTAGGCAAGTGACATCCTCTTTAAACCTTGGTTTCCTTAGCTATTCCTCACCTACCTCCCTGGGTTGTGTTGTAAGAATTCAGTGCATGGTATTTGGCACACAGTAAGCACTCAATGAATGGCAGTCATTAGTATTACCATTATTTTAAATAAATGATTAATTCAACATGTAATATTTATTCCACATTATACATATATAAGCATATATTTACTTTTAAATGATGATTTTAAAGTTTTAAGCAAAGAATACAAATAATTACCTCATATTTTAATTTCTTGATTTCACAACAAAGTGCAGCATAAACGGTGATGACTTTGTTTAAGACCTAGTTTCATGAGTAAAAACATAAAGAGTAAATTGTAACAGATAACTTAAGCATTTTTTTTTTTTTTTTGAGACAGAGTTTCACTCTCTTGCCCAGGCTAGAGTGAGTGCCATGGCGTCAACCTAGCTCACAGCAACCTCAAACTCCTGGGCTCAAGTGATCCTACTGCCTCAGCCTCCCGAGTCGCTGAGACCACAGGCATGTGCCACCATGCCCGGCTAATTTTTTCTGTAAATTTTTTTTTTTTAGTTATCCAGATCATTTCTTTCTATTTTTAGTAGAGACGGGGTCTCGCTCTTGCTCAGACTGGTCTCGAACTCCTGAGCTCAAACAATCCGCCCGCCTCGGCCTCCCAGAGTGCTAGGATTACAGGCGTGAGCCACCGCGCCCGGCCACTTAAGCATTTTTAGAAATATATTTTTAAGTTTAGAATTCCGTACCTTATTTTCAGTCTTTATGAGTTCCAAAAGGGAGGACTGCTCATAAGGCAAAAGCTACAGAAACAAAGGAAAAGAACATTTCTTTTTAATTAGAAAGATCACTGAAATTTTAAATACACAAAATGAGACTAACTCTATTTTACTTTGTGTAAGTAGTGTGTACTCAGTACTAGTACCAACTATTTTGTTCAAAACAATCTCATTAGACAATATATAAGGAAAAGTACACAAGCTCAAAAAGCAATGGCCCAACATGACACAATCATGTTGCAATGACTCTGGGTGCCCTCCACAATTTAAGGTGGCTGAACATGAGTTCAGTGCAAGAAAAGGCAAGATAATAAGGTAATACCAATATTATTAAACTCCATTAGTTACGACCATGGGCAAAGACCTCTCATTATTTTGGAATTTGCTATGTAGGCACAAATTTAATAAGATATTTTAAAAAGGGTCAAATACATTATCATAAAGAATAAAACAAGACAGAAAAGAGAAAATATCTTTTCTTGTATAAACCCATGGCTCAGAACCCTTAAAATACAGTGTGCAATTCACTTATCTTCTAAGGGCAGCTCAATTTCTACCTCTTTCTGCCCATCATCTGTAAGTGATCTCTTTATTAAGTGAAATCTTAGACTTCCCTTTCGGTTATATACTAACGATTAAGTATTTATATAGGTAAGTTATATATACCTTTTCTCATTAGGTTGTAATTTTTGTTTACAGAGATTTTGTCTGAGTTGGTGATTTTCCCAAAATACTAAGAACATTTTATAGCAGAAACACAATAAAATAAGTGCCCAATAATGGAACTAAAATGAGGTTCCAAAGAAAGCAATTGGGGAGGAGGGAGATTCCATACGATGATAAAATTTTAAAGATTAGAATCCTTCTGTAGGAGAAGATAAAAGTTAAGAGATGATTTCACCTTTTATAAAATCTGAGAGTTGAGACAGATTTTTATGATGATATAGCTAGAAGAGGCCTTAAAAGCCCAAAGAGCGAGTCTTAAAAAAATAAAAAAATACTGCTTAATGGCAAGTGAGAAATCAATGAAATTCATTACCTTCAAAGTTAGTACGCATTGAGAATGGGAATTTCCTAATGGAGGTCCTATAACTTACATACCGGGATTTTTCATAAGCATTAAAAAACAAAAAGAGACAATGACAAATAGGGGGAAATTTTTTAAAGTAAGATTAAGCCTATCCAACCTGCAAGAAAGAAGAGTAAAAGGAAAATACTTTTGGTTTACAAATATGTAAAGCATTAGTGAGGCAGTTTAGAGTAGTGGGTAAAGACACAGGCTCTAAAACCAAACTGCCTGATATTGATTTGCCATTTAACTGAATGTGTCACTTATTTGAACAAGTTGCTTTTCTATGTCTTAGTTTTGTCACGTGCAAATGAAGATGATATTGTATCTACCTTATAGGATTGCTGTAGGAATTAAAGTCAGTACTTGTCCTACAATGCATAATGAAAAGATAACCAAATTTAAAAATTGGCAAAGGATGTGAATAGATGTTTCTACAGACACACAAATGGGCAATAAGCAAATGAAAAGATACTCATCATCATTAGCCATCAGACAAATGAAAATCAAAACCACAATGAGATCACATCCACTAGGCAGATATAAGTATTGGCAAGAATGCAGAGAAACTGGAACCCTCATACAGTGCTGGTAGGAATGTAAAATGGTACAGCCACATTGGAAAACAGTCTGGAAGTTCCTCAAAAAGTTAAACATAGTTACCATATGACTCTGCAATTCCACTCCTGGGTGGGCTATGTGTGTATCTCCAAACATGTACACAAAAACTTGTACACAAATGCTCATAGCAGTATTTGTAATAGCCAAAAAGTGGAAAAACCCACATTTCTATCAACTGATGAATGGATAAATAAAATGTGGTATATCCATTCAATGGAATTTATTCAATAATAAAAAGAAATAAAGTACATTCATGACAACATGGATAAGCCTTGAAAACATCATGCCATGTGAAAGAAGTCAGCCACAAAGGACCACACATTGCATGATTCTATTTATATGAAATGTACAAAAGAGGCAAATCCATAGAGACAGAAAACATACTGACAGCCTAGGGCTTGTGGGTGATGGTGTGGCATGGCATTGGGGGAGGGGTATTGACTACTAATGGATATGGGATTTTTTGCAGTGGTGAAAATATTCTAAAACTGACTGTGGTGATGGTTACACAATTCTACGAATATACTTTTAAAAACCATTGTAAGTATACAATTTAAAGGGGGGAATTGTATGATATGTGAAATATATCTCAAGAAAGCTGTTATAAAAAGTCTGTGATTAAAGATATTTTCTAGTACATAGTAAGTGCTCAAAAATAATATTCCTTAAGTGGTAAAAGACTAGTTTCAAAGATAAAACAAGGTAGAACTACCTCAAAATGGAACACAGTAAGAGTGACATTAAAAATTGCTACCAAATTAAGATCCCCTATATCCCATGAGTGAACTGTTTGGTAATGATGAAAATACTCTATATCTTCATTAGGACAAGAGTTACGTGTGTTTGGCAAAATTCATTGAACCGTATTCTTAAAACCTGTGCATTTCACCATATGTAAAATAACCTCAATAAGAAACAAATAAAGCTTGAATATTCTATCCAGCCCACTTCATTTTCTTGATGAAAAACAAAGGCTGGCTCAAAGAGGTGCAGTTTGCACCATTCCTTGACACTAAAGGCTTTGTGTTTGTGTCATTCTTGGGGGGAAAAAAAAAAAGTTTCTTTTAATTTTAAAAATACCAGCATGGCTAACAGAAAAGGAAATCAACAATTTTCCAAGTTTCTTTTCATTCTTAGATTTCAAATAAAAATACATTTTCCATTTTAAAAATGATGTTTTCAAGATACAGTATGTCCTGAAAATATATACATAAATTTAAAAATAAAATAGAATCAAACCTTTAATGCTATAGGATCAAGATTGAAATCCCAAACATCTCCAATTGAGTCATCCAGCGCGTCCTCAATTCTTCTCAACTGAGATGTATACTCCTCGAGAAATTTCCCATAATTCTTAAGTTGAACTTCAGCATGAATTTCTAAGTTTAAATTTTAAAAGAGTATGTGATAAGTATAAGTAATGAATTACAGGACATTTACTTCAAATAACCTCAGAGGCAAAGCATTGTTAATCATTACTTTACAATGTCTGAACTTCTTGAAAATAAAGTTCCAAAATTAAACAATAATTCAGCTTTCAATCTTCTCCACATACATAAAATAATTTTAAAAGCACTAGATGTTACCATATACAAAGATATCATCTTAATACTTTAAAGTATTATGAAAAAGCCACTAGTCCATACAGCTCCATAATCAAAGGCTTTTAACCAATCTGAATAATGCCTTAGCTAACTCAATGTCCTGATTCTATGTTTTAGACATAAACAACTCTTGCAAAAAAAAAAATATTCATGACCTGAAACAGGTCCAAAAGTCTGTGTCACAGAAGCAATATTTAAAAGTGTAATTTTTGGCTGGGCAAGATTGCTCATGCCTATGATCCCAGCACTCTGGGAGGCCAAGGCAGGAGGATCATTTGAGGCCAGGAGTTCAAGACCAGCCTGGGCAACACAGTGAGACTCATCTCTCCACAAAAAATAAATTAAAAAAAAATTAGGCAGGTGTGGTAGTGCGTGTGCCTGTAGTCTTAGCTACTTGGGAGGCTGAGGCAAGGAGGACTGCTTGAGCCCAGGAATTCAAGGCTGCAGTGAGCTATGATCGTACCACTGCACTCCAGCCTGGGTGACAGAATGAGGCCCTGTCTCTAAAATTTTTTTTAAAAGTGTAATTTTTAATTCTATACACACTAAACTAACATTTAAATACACATAAATACTTTAAAATGGAGGTTTTAGACTTGCTTCAGTATAATGAATATTATGCCTGAAATGTCTAAAATTTAACCAAAATATTTTGTTAAATTATTTAACTGTCATAATTGAGTAGGAAATGTCAGTAAAGAACACTGGTTAAATACAGAATATTGTACTGATATTTACAGAATTTACACATTAACAGATGACTTTAAGGAGTCGCTAGAATAAACTGGATTTAAAAAATGCCTATTTTTCAAAATTAATGAAAATAAATATTTCACCTTATTCATAAAAATTCATTTCTTATTCTCAATGGTAGCAAATTCAACTCCAACTCAGTTTCTTCTATTGATGCGAATAACTTTATTCAATCTCTGACTTCTAAAAAAGGTAAAAATTCTCTCTCTTCAAATTAGCAATTTGAAGCAACTAAGATAAAGTATTCTGACTCATGCTGTTTTAAAGTATAAAGACCCACCTCCCTGTTATCCCTCATTCTGCAACTACATAATGCTCAGGTGGATCAATTTAGTTCATTAAGGTTCCTATCTCATTATAGCATTAATCTAGGCAATTTTGGAAAACAGTCTAGATATGATTCACAGTCGAAAAATTAATGAATGGAATAATGTTGTCTCTGTTAAAAAAAGAAAATTAATGAAAAGCAGGTGCAGAGAAGAAATAAGAAGTATTCTCTTCCCTACAGCTTACATATTAAAACTGCATAGATTCTCAGAACCCCAAGTAGATGGCTTATTTATTCTCAGTTACGTGAGAAATGACCAGTTAAAGCTACATTTGACCAGAAAACGAGTTCTTAAAGACAATGCTAGAAAAACATGTCAGTAAATCTAACTCGTTTAGTCTGTTTAGGGATTCAGGAGGAAGGGGGCAACTGAAAATCTGTAATAACATTAAAAGTTCCTTGCTGAAAGCCAGGCACCGTGGTGCATACTTGTAATCCCCGCTAGTTGGCAGGATTGCTTGAGCCCAGGAGTTCAAGACCAGTCTGAGCAACAAAGCGAAACTCTATCTTAGAAAAATAAAAACTTAAAAGTTTCTTGTTGATAACAGCTGCAAAATTATCAACAGTAAAAGTTAAAATAGAAAGCTTTGAGATAAACACTACATGGTGATTCTTCAACAGTAAAATTCCAAAACCCTATTTACTAGCTCTCTGGGAGGCCGAGGCGGGCGGATTGTTTGAGCTCAGGAGTTCGAAACCAGCCTGAGCAAGAACAAGACCCCGTCTTTACTAAAATTAGAAAGAAATTAATTGGACAACTAAAAATATATAGAAAAAATTAGCCGGGCATGGTGGTGCATGCCTGTAGTCCCAGCTACTTGGGAGGCTGAGGCAGGAGGATTTCTTGAGTCCAGGAGTTTGAGGTTGCTGTGAGCTAGGATGACACCACGGCACTCTAGCCCGGGCAACACAATGAGACTCTGTCTCAAAAAAAAAAAACAAAAAAACACCCTATTTACATGCTTATATTGATATTTTCCAACAGACTGCATTCTTTGTCTTATCTTTGCATCCCTAATATCTAGCACAGCCACTGGTGTGTAGAAAATGCCTGTTGAGTGAATCAGATCATTCCTTTCTAAACTGAACCACTTTCAAGCCCAATAACGTATGTTCATTTCAATTTTTCAAAGATACTAGAGTAAGGGATCTTTGTCCATAAAACTTCATACATGACAAGGTACAGTTCATTTTATAATAGTAAATACAGAACCCTCTCTACAAAAAAAGTAAAGGTTTTGTCATTACTTCCAAGATTAATTTTTATGCTGCATAAGAACTACTATCTCACGGAATGTTTTGTGAAAAACTGCACACCATCCTGATGTAACTGATTCTTTGAGAGGCTAATAAAACCTAATTATATCTATGTTTGCAGACATTAGTCTCTTTGTAAAACCAAGCAAAACTCGTTCAGAATTTTCTAAAAATGACATTCCACTTTTTCGGATAATTCTGCAGAAAAAAAATTCACGAATAGCATGCCCTCATATCTCCTGCACCACTTATACAGATTAATATCACCAAAGATTAAAAACAGATTGCCTACTTGTATTAATTCCAAGTAAAGTTTCACTAAAATAACTAGCTTAGTGTCCACGATCTGTTGAAAGAAACTGAATTTGCTACTTTTGTGGTTGGACTTCTAAGTTAAAATCAGACAATTAGATTTTGTGAAGCGAAATTTGAAGCAGACTAGCTGTAATTTTTCAACCTTTGTAGCTGCAATGGAAATTACAGGACATCACTGAAAAATACCACTTCACGTAAATAAAAGGCCTGGAAGAGGATAAAATGAGGTTCACCTGTTCATTTTTACTGTGTTCGAAAAGTTCTTTTCTCGCTCCCTACTACGGTTATAAGAACGTGATTTAACAAAAAAAAGCAACCAAACTTCCAAAAGTTGGTTTAGGAGGAAAAGAAGAAAAACAGGAAATCGAAACAGGAACCCAGACATCAGCCTCTTCTAGAACTGAACACTCTGAGAAATCTGGCGAAAACCCCAAGAGGCCAGAGACAGGAGCAGCCTGGACTCCCCGGAGCTGCTGGGCCTCCCCGGGCGCGCCCCGCCCGTGCCCCCGAGCAGCAGAAAGCGGACGCCACTCCCCTCGGGGCATCTCGGGCTCCCAGGAGAGTCACCACCTTGCACGCCGAGCCCTGACCGGGCCAGCTTAACCCGCCATTACTGGGACCCCAACCCCAAAAGTAACGCTGGAGAGCGCGTCCCTCTCACACCCCAAGGGATACGAAGTGTCCCAAACAAGACCGCTGCGTGGCCGACCCTCTCGCAGAAGCACTGCTGGGGCTGAGGCGGGCCGGGGAGCGTCCACCCGCAGCCCTCTCCCTGACGCTCCCTTACTCTGTGAGCCGTCGTCAACGCGGTCAAACTCCCAGTCGGGGGACAGAGTCTCCACCGCCATCACCCCGGCGCCTCCCACAGACACAGTCCCAACCAGCCAGTGCAGCGACTGCAGCCTCACCCCAGCGGATGCCGCCGCACGTGACTTCCGGCCCCGGCCCCGCCCCCGCTCACGAGGGCCAGCCGGGTTCGTTGCCCCTGAGGCCGCGGGGGCCGATGGGAAAGGGAGTCCTCGGCGGTGGCCGAATACTGCCGCCATGGCGGCGACGTTCCCCGCGGATGTTTTCCCACCGGGCTTGGGCTTCGCCACCGTTCACTGCTCTTCTCACGCCACATCGGCGCCTTCAGTTTCTCCCTGCTATCTGGAGGCGATTTTTAATACCTAAGGGAGATGCTCCCTCAGTCTAACCTAAAAAGGGCAGAATTGAGGGGGTGGGGACTTAACAGGAAGGCATGGTCCTCGAGGGCGACGCTGTCCAGGCGCTTCTTCCAAGAAGCTGGCATTGCCAATTCCCTCCGTGTCGCCACCATCGGAGTTCCTGCCGCTCTCCTGCATGTCCCGTGCGGATTGTTTCTGAGCAAAGAGAGCTGTGCGAGAGGAGGAGTCACTTTGCGAACACTCTAACAGAGAATCGTACTACTCCGCTCCCTTTGCACTCACCGCCTCTCCACCAGGTCCTTTTAAAAAGGCGGGGCGGGAAGAAGAAGAGCGTTGTAAAATGCTCCCACCTGCTTGCTTGGCTTTTCCGAAAGTAGGGATCGGTGTAAAATTATGCATGTATACAGATTTTTGCACAGGAATGTTCATTGCAATGTGGCTTTTAATAAGTACTAATAGGAAACGATCTAAATGTCCGTCAAAAGGAAATAATTACCTGGGTCTCAATACATCCATGCCTATTAGTTACTAGCGAGGTGCTAAAAGAAGTGAAATAGATTTATAACAGCAGGAAAAACCGACAGGAGGCAGTTGCAGAATAATGTGTACTTGTGGTTACATTTATATTTTTAAGTTATATAAACATGTATATGAGCGTGTATGTAAATGCATAGGAAGAGAAAATCAAATTAAACAAGACTGGTTACCTGGGAAAGAGTGTGTGTTGGTGAGTAGAAGGTGGATTTTCAAGTTTTGGTGTGTCTGGTTATGTGTTTTGAATCTTTAACAATGAGAATTTATTGAGGTTTTACTTGTATAATTTTAACAAGTACCAAAAATAACTAATCAATTTAGTTAAAAGGTCTCATGAAGAGCGTTCTTCTGAGGACATTGGGTCTGCAGTAGGTCAAATATTTATTGAGTGTCCACTAGGTACCAGGCACCATTCCAGATGTAGAGACTATAAAACGGACAAGAAAGATGGATCGCTGCCCCTATGGTACTTGCAGTGTTAGAGGGCATTTTAGAAAATATCAGGCATCATCAGTGCTTAATGGCTGGCAACATTTTTTTCTCTTTACTTTCTATGTGATCATGAGTTTGACTTTGCTGTATTCTTCACATTTACGATAATCACTGTAATTACTCTCCCAAAAGCTCATTTGTGATAAAGTGGTTACATACAAGTCACAGCAATTTGAATCTGTAAATACACTAATCTATTGTAATAGATTAGTAGCAAGAAGCAGTGTATGTAATAATCAAAAGTACACTTTTGACTGCCAAATTGCCTAGGTCCAAATCCTGGCTCCGCCACTTACTAGCCATGTAACCTCTGCCTCAATTTCCTCATCTATAAAATAGGAATAAAAGTAGTAAACACCTCATAGCATTGTTGTGAGGACTAAATTAGTTTATACGTATAAGGTACATAGAAAATACCAACCACATACTGTAGAAGTGTTTGCTATTATGCTATATTTTTTTTTTTTTAATTAATTAATTTTCTAGAGACAAGGTCTCACTCTGTCAGCAAGGCAGTGGCACCATCAGAGCTCACTGCAGCCTCAATGAGGCTCACCTCCTCGGCCTCCTAAAGTGCTGGGATTACAGATGTGAGCCACTGCATCTGGCTGAGCCTTATTTTTAAAAAGATCTCAGGAATTTTCTGTTTTGAACTTAGACATCTTTAAATGAAATTCCACAGCCTAGAATTTAAAATCTTGTTAGAACATTACAAATTCGATACCAAATATAAACGCACATTCACTACATGAAAAGTACTACCTGAAATTTATTATAATAGATGTCCTATATTTCTTAGACCTAATCTATAGAAGGCAAATAATCATTTTAAGGAATTAAATATTCTTCATTCTACTACTCTTTACTCACACTTTAGTAGCTGAAAGGCAAGCCTGAAAATAGAAGGAATAACATTTTATATGAACAGCATTGTACTATTCTGAGAGCTGCTGTGAACTTTAGAACATCTACCTACAGACAGTACCTGCCTGCCAGCTCCTAGGAATCCCTGCCCTTCACCTACAGGCCCATATACCCATACCGTAAGTACCAGCTTATTCTGTACCAAAATATTATATAGCTAAGGTCTTGGTGAATTTGTTTCTTAATATACATTTAGAGTATTCTTCCTATAATATAAAATCTATGGTAACAATTCACTAAAGATATTTCATTTAGTAATTTGTCACAGAGTCTTGTGTATACCTATCAAAAGATTCCTACTATGTTAATTCATACATTTCTTTACAAAATAATCTCTCACTTGGAAAAACACTATAGACCTGTGACAGGTCTTCTCTTTCCATTGTCCACATTTTCTTGGTGAAGTTTCTCAAAACATATCTGATCAGGTCATGCCGCACTTTACATCTTTCCAATTGCCTTTGGAATGGAGTTTATGCTTCATAGGATGTATCACAAGTCTTCTTCCAATCTGCCCTTTGATTTAAGGGATCCTAATCACTGTACTGGTTGGTAATCAGAGATTGTGGGACCATGCAGATTACCATCATATCTCATTCCCTGAATCCCTGAGTGCTTCAGTCCTGTGCGTCCGTGGTGTTTACCACGTTGAAATTATCTCTTGACATGATTGTCTCTCCTAATAGGCTATATATTAGTTTCCTTTTGCTGCTGTAACAAACTGCCACAAATTTAGCAGCTTAAAACAGTACAAATGTGTTATCTTTCAGTTCTGGAGGTAAAAAGTCTAAAATCAGTCTCACTGGGCTAAAGTCAAGGTGTCAGTAGGACTGGTTCCTCTTGGACACACACGGGAGAATCTATTTCCTTACCTTTTTTAGATTCCATGCATTTCTTGAACCTCTTCCTTCTGTCATCACATGTCCTACTATTGACTGATTCTCCTGTCCTCCTCTTACAAGGACCTTTGTGATTACATTGAGCTCACCCAGATAATCCAGGATGATCTCCCTATCATAAAATCCTTACTTTAATCACATCTTCAAAGGCTCTTTAAACATGTAAGCTGACATATTCACAGGTTGTAGGGATTAGGACATGAACTTCTTTGTACACCTGTTATTCAGCCTAGCACAGGCCATAAACTCTTTGATATCAGAGACCATGATTTATTCCCACATTGCACAGTCCCTGAAACATATTAAGCACTCAGAAAATATTTAAGGTAAATATAGGAAATCAAGAACCCTGGAATCTTTTCTGATAATTCTAATATCTGGATTTACTGTGGGTCTCTTTTCTATTGTCTGGTGGTATTCTGTTTTGTTTCTTTTTCTCTTGGTTTTCCATCATTTGGTCTTATTTCCTTATGTCTAATAATATTTTTTAGTGCATGTTGGCCTTTATTATGAAAAAATTATAGAGATAATGATGTTATTTTTCTTCAGAGGGGTTAACTATTTCTTCTGGAAGGCCATTAGAGCAGGGGCCTATTAACCCAGTCTAGGACTGTTCTGATTCGAAGCTGGGTTTGTCTTTCTAAGGCCTGGTCTATTTCTGTGTCACTTTAATCCTAGGGCATAACTTTGCAGGGGTGCTTGGCAGGGCCTACCAAATCTTTGCTCAGCTTTTCAACCTCTCAGTTACTACTTTCTGCTACTCAGACTCTTAGATTCTCAGCTGCCACTTATAAATCAGCAAATGCCTTGATGTGACATATGGTGCCAAATGTCAGGCTCGACTTTCTTGACCTTCTCTCCTGAATTTTTTTTTTTTTCGAAACAGAGTCTCACTCTGTTGCCCAGGCTAGAGTGCCGTGGTGTCAGCTTAGCTCACAGCAACCTCAAACTCCTGGGCGCAAGTGATCCTCCTGCCTGAGCCTCCCGTGTAGCTGGGACTACAGGCATGCGCTACCATGCCCGGCTAATTTTTTCTATTTTTAGTTGTTTGGCTAATTTCTTTCTATTTATAGTAGAGACGGGTCTCACTCTTGCTCAGGCTGGTCTCGAACTCCTGAGCTCTAACAATTTGCCTGCCTAGGCCTCCCAGAGTGTTAGGATTACAGGCGTGAGCCACCGCGCCCGGCCCTTCTCCTGGATTTTAATTCCTCAAATCCTTGCTGTCCTGCGTCTCCAATGCCTTCAAAAAGATTTTTAGTAACAAAAGCAAAACTGGACAAATGGGATGATATCAAACTTAAAAAACTTCTGTATATTAAAGGAAATAACACAGTGAAAAGGCAACCTATGGAATGGGAAAAAATAATTGCAAATCACATGTCTGATAAGGGGTTAATATCCAGAATACATAAATAACCCCTACAACTCAACAGCAACAAGTAACACAATTCTAAAAATGA